ATTTTGAAAAAATAAAAAATACCATAGATTTTTTTTTAATCGTGTGTTGTAAGAACTAATCTAATTTTTGAAGGTTGAGAATCTAAGCAATCTGCCAATAAGATATGACTATTCCGGATACCGCCTTGACAAACATATTATGGTTTTGTTTTAAGAACAGGTCGTGTCATTTCTTTGGCACAAAGATTTAATTACCTTACTTTGGGATAGCTAGTTTTGCAATTTCTTATTCATAGGAAAACGTAAAAACGGCGTCAAGTGGATTGTCTCTATGACATCTTCGGAACAACTTCTTATACAATTTTCCATTAGAGCAATAGCATCAAAAAAGACGTAGGTTTTGTCAGAAACATGCGTGCACTATTTGGGCTTTTCTTGTAAAAAAGTCTCCTCCGATTGTAGCAACGAGCGTGTCCGTACACGGTAGCCTCATTTCTCTTTGGAGGTCTGATGCAAAACTGTTTGTCAACAGTATTCGATAACTGAATATAATATCTGTTGATACGTCCTTGTATACTATAACGTATAGTACTGCCTCACGAAATCAAAGTAACCTCATTAACCTTGGCTCCTTGGTTTTTGATAGTCTTTTTTCTCCATCAAAAAGGCTGGGGTATTTCTATGTTATCACTGTTCGGTGTCAGCCTCAGCGCTCTCCCATTGTGAGGTTTTGTTTTCTTTTTGGATTTTAAGAAATTGATAAAACAGATGATAAAAATCAAGTTTTATCAGCTTGACATTTCTTAGAATTCAAAAAGAAAATACAACCTCAAAATAGAGCGCTGACAGTAGAAATCTAGAAATGCTCCTGCCTCTGGAAGGATAGCAAAACCTACGAAAATCAAGGAGGCCATAAAGGCGCCCTACAATTGTAGTAACGACTGACGATACAACCCTAAATTACACTCCATGCATAATGCTCGTATACAGGGTGTTTCACTTTATTGTTGCATATCTTTAAGATTCGATAGAACTTTTAAAATTAATGCATAAAGTCTATATAAACATAGGTCGAAAAATGCGTGGCTTCCGAAATACAGGGTGTTTAAATTTACTTTCTAAAATAGTTTTTTTTAAATATTTCGAACAATATTTGATGTATAACAATGAAAATTGGTATACAAGGGTTTTTTTGTACGACAAAACGAACCATGGGCATAGTTTTACTGTAGCCGCTAGAGGGCGCTCTCTACTGCTTTTTGAATAAAAAAACTGATTCTTCACACTTTTCAACATAAAAAAGCTCTCTTGTGAATTTTCGTTATAGTTAGCCGTTTTTGAGATATTTCGATTTTTAAGGTTCGATGCATTTTTAATTATTTATGATAAAATAACGTTAAAAAGTCAGTATCTCGATAATTTTTAGAAGTAGGCTGTGCCTGCAAATATTTTTGAAATTGAAAGCAGAATAAGGTTAAACGTCAATTAGTGGACAGTTTTGTTGTCTGTTGAAACCTGAAACGTTTTTTGCAATTGTGAATGCACGAAATTCAGTTTCTTTTACCTGTTTTTTTTTGTAAGTTTTATGAAAATGCCATTTTATTTTCCAATCAACAGTTAGCGGATATTCATTTTGTGTATGTCTTTGTAAATGGAAACGCAGCAGAAGCAGCCAAAGAATACGCACGAAGATTTCCAAACAGACGACATCCAACTCGCTCAGTATTTGTAAGAGTGCATCGCCAAATAATTGAAAATGGTTTTGGAAATCTCCAAAGGGATCAAAACATAAATGTTCGTCGGCGCAGATTTACCCGTATGATTCTGCGTGAGTTTGATAGAGATCCGATCACAAGTGTTAGGAGAGTTTCTGGTGCCTTGGGAATTTCAGCAAGCCATGTTCACCGTGTTCTTAGAAATGACCACAGACGTCCTTACCATTTGCAATCTGTGCAAGGACTACAGCCAGGGGACGGAGAACGAAAAATTACATTTTGTCAGTGGATTCTTGGTAGAGAACTGATAATAATAGGGAGTTTTTAAGTAACGTTTTATGGACCGATGAGTCATGCTTCACTAGACGTGGAGTGGTAAATTTTCATAATCAACATATTTGGTCGCATGAAAATCCGCATGCAGTTCGGGAAAGACATTTTCAGCATGAATTTAGTGTGAACGTGTGGATTGGTATCTACCGTAATCGACTATTTGGACCCTACCTTTTGCCTGCAAGGTTAAATGCTGCGACCTTCTTGGAATTTTTAAAGGCTGAACATGCAAATATGTGGGATGATGTTATGTTAGATTTAAGAAGATTGGCCTGGTTCCAGCTTGATGGTTGTCCAGCTCATTATTCGAGAATAGTTAGAAACTGGCTGGACGAAAATTATCCAGAAAGATGGATCGGCCGTGGAGGACCAGTCGCCTGGCCTCCACGATCCCCTGACCTAAATCCATTACATTTCTTTGTGTGGGGATTTCTAAAAGAAACAGTGTACCAGACTCCCGTAACAACAAGAGATATGCTAATAGACAGAATCAGGAATGCATGTGATGAAATAAGGCCTTATTTGAATAATGCTATACCACGTTCGATCATTCGTAGATGTGAATTGTGTATTGAACAATTGGGTTTACATTTCGAGCAACTACTTTAGATTTTGTATGTTTGTCCTAACTATCCAATAGCATTTTAGTTGTAAATAATTAATTTAATTTGTGAAAAATAATATTGGAAAATGAAACAAATTAATATTCTGTTTTTTTTTGTGTTTATTTGGAGTTAGGAATTATTGCTGTGTTTAAAAACACAATCTAAACAATCACCTTAATTATTTGTAATGCCCAAATCGAAAATGTAAAATAAAAAATATTATTTTCCCATAAATAGTTAAAAATTTATCGAACCTTAAAAATCGAAATATCTCAAAAACGGCTAACTATAACGAAAACTGAAAAAGGAGCTTTTTTATCTTGAAAAGTGCGAAGAATCAGTTTTTTTATTCAAAAAGCAAACAATTGCACTAAGAAAAATTTTTCGGTCATTTTAATACACTACAGGTACTGTAGAGAGCGCCCTCTAGCGGCTACAGTAAAACTATGCCCATGGTTCGTTTTGTCGTACAAAAAAAACCCTTGCATGCCAATTTTCACTATTATACATCAAATATTGTTCGAAATATTTAAAAAAACTATTTTAGAAAGTAAATTTAAACACCCTGTATGTAGATAATTTCGCGCCCACCTCGTACGTGCATACGCATCATCAGGTGGTCCTGCTTTTATGCGACCGATAGGTACGCCACCCATCGGCTGAAAGTGCAATGTGCTGGGAAATCTATGATGTGTGAAATATGTCTAATAGGTGCATAGAACGACCGGAGTTGGTTGTCGATTAATATACTGACATAAAAAAATGCGATACACCCATTTCCAACTACCGACCCACCAATTTTTTTAAACCAAAAAATTTTAAACAATGGTCAGGATCTTCTGAAACGTCAAAAACAAAGTTTGAGCGATTTGAATTTTTTTCTTTTTTGGTACTTTTATATACTTACAACTTTTTCGTCTCGAATGTCATATAGAGAAGTTAGAGGGAGAGTGAATTTATAGTCGGACATCCAAAAAACATCTCATTTTCGGAAATGTTCACTATTAAAATACTTACTCGCCAATAGGCGTGAGAAGTAAAAACATCGAACATACGCATAATATTGATATTTGAAAGAAATAAGTTTTTTGAAATTTACTCAATTATGGTGTTGCTTTAAAAAATCTTTCAACTTCAGTATAAAATAATATGCTAAATAACCGGTTTAAACAGGGTCAATGTTACAAAATAAATAAAAAGAGTATTGTCTCATCTATCCTACGCGTTAACGTAAAGTTATTTTGAAAAGCAAGTGCGCTTAGGTAGACGTAAACCTTTTAAAAATAGCTGCAGTAGACAATGGTTACTAACACTGGATGATTCATTTAGAGATACCTTTTTCAAAAACCTGCAAAGTAATAACAATTAACTGTGTTTTATGATGCGCCCGTCCATTATTTGTGTAATACTTATTTCCCAAATTACATTTTCTTATCCTTTCAGACATAGTCCAAAGGGAAAAATCTAGAGGTGGCCAAGTAGTTTAGCGAATCATCTTATTGAAATCACATATTCTGATGCCCAGAGGCTTGAATTTCCGGCAGGAAATCGTAAAATCGTGTATTATGGTGCGCTAGGGGGTCGCGACTTACAACTTCAAATGCTCTTATGGCTCATCGGAAGTTGGAAATCCAGAATGGACTAAAATAACCACACTAACAGCCTTATGGTGGAATTTTGATAATAACCGGATAAAGTTTAGTGTTTTTCATATTTTCTCTTTTTAAAAAAGTACCTCATAGCGATCAAGAAAGCTACTGGTTCAATGTGACAAATGCGATGTTTACTTTTCAAGCAAAATGATACAGATTTTCTAATACAAATATTTGCAAGTTCTCTGAATACACCATCATGATCTAGTCATCCAATCCGTATAAATGATTAATTTGCCTTTATACTTCCCACGTCTTTTGGAGGGGTAGTATTGTAATCGCGAAATAAAATTGTGTTTTTTGCATGTTATATGACATGTACATTACGAAAAACTATGTCATGTCTGTCGGTCTATCCATAAATCTTATAACCGCCTATAACTTGAGAAGTAGAGGAAAGGAACCAAATTTGAGACAAGTGCCTAATTTGAGACAGTGATGTAACTTTGTACCTTTGTAGCACCAACTTCTAGTAATACCAAAAAGTTGTGAACTAAGATGCAGTAGTATCCTACATGTGTTTACAGTTTAGTTTTGCACATGGTTTGTTGTTACTTCTTGAGAGTTAAACATATTTTAATAGTGTGTGAAAGTTATTACTAAAATTAAGGTAAGTTATTTAGAACAATTGTCTGATATAAATGTAGTAGTTTACAAATACCTTATTTATTTTCTTTTACAATATTGTGATTTTATTAGGTAAATAACCTAAATATGCTTGTGTAAACTTTTTAACCGAAAATTCCTAATTTTAGATACCCAAGATTTAATAATTTGGGCCCTATATCAAGATGCAGATTCCTGGAAACACAAGAGTAAGGAGATGGATTATTTAAAAGCCTCAAAAGGATTCGGAATGATACCTTCCCCCTTCAGTTCAAGTTCAGAATGCAGCGGAAGCCTTAAGTTGGATGATTCATCTTCAGACGAAAGCAACATGAACGCGATGCTGAATGTTTATTTTGTACGGGTCGATTTTCCGAAGATAAGAAGGATGAAAATGGACAAAATACAGCTATTGTAGTAGATGGGCACATAAAGATTGTGAAGAGATTACCAATAAAATTATCATTTGCACTTTCTGCAAAAGAAAGGGATTTTTTGAATACTATCTCAAATTTGGGAATTCACAAAAATATTTACTTTTTTTTAAAATATACTTTTTGTATGTAAAAAATACATTAATATTATTTTTTTTATTTTAGAGTATGCTAGGAGCATCAAATCGCAAGTTTATTTAAAAATATACGCTCGTTTAAAACAACAAGTACTTTATTCAAACAAAGTATCTCAAATTTAGTCCCTTTTCTCTACAGCTCGGATATCGATGAAATTTGTACACAATATTGCTACTATACCAAAGACGCAAAAGCTTTAGTTTTTGAAAATCGGTTCAGTAGCAGCGGAGAAAAAGGCCAACAACGAAAAATAAATAAACCATTTTAGGAAATTTTTTTATGGTTATTCAGGTGACGGTCATTTAATTGTTTGTTATACATGTTCATAGCTAACTTTTTCCCTTGCAAAACATACTCCTTTACGAACCCATGACAGCGTAGCACGGGGACGTACCGAGTCAACTTACTTGATGCCATTTTTTTATTCAACCTACCGTCACTCAACGACTTAAAGATCATAAGAGGGAAGAAAACATACTGACAATAATTTCTGGTTTGCACCTGAATATAACAAAAGGTCAATTGTTGAGAAAGCTACAACATACGTATACGTTTACAACCTCCGTCAAATTGTAAATTTGGATTGCTTTAAAAAGAAATTGGACTAACAACACATAGATTTGTGTTGAGTACCGAGCTTGTGTCACGCACAGGTCAATCCTGGATGAAACTTCTAGAGTATTAATGAAATTTCGGATACATAATTGCGATTGATGCATTTCGTCATGGTGGATAGCGACACGCCAATGGCACTGGCCGTTCCGGCTTGACTCTTGATAAACTCCGCATTGTATTCATAATATACTAAGTGACATATAAATCCGAACACCCAGTTTAAATGGTTTTATTTTAATAATGTGAATGTATTTATCTTACTGTAAATAACAAGTGAAAAAATTTTCAGCCTTATCAGTTGGACATTCCGGTTTTTATACTGCTTTTTTTTTAATTCACTAACGCTCTAAAAATGAATATTTCAGCCGCAGTAAAGAATCAACGTTGGCGGATTTTGGTTCTTGACATCCTTTACGATCGGTTACGATGCCTAGAGTACGGAGACCTGTACGATTTCGTCAACTTAGTGAGTTTGATAGGGGCCGTATAGTGGGACTTCGGGAAGCTGGACTTTCTTTTCGGGCAATTGCAGTTAGAGTGCACTGTGGTTAGGTGTTGTCAGGCATGGCTTCGAGAAGGCCGTACGCAAAGAGCAAGGGGCACTGGACGCCGCCGTAGAACAACAGACCGTGAAGATCGCCGCCTAAGATTATTGGCCTTAAGGGACCGTTTCTCCACTACCAGGTCCACTGCAAATGAATGGTTTGCAGAACACGGAAGACCTATTGGCATGCGAAGTGTTTACCGACCCTTTAACTCGAGAACACCGACGTAATCGCCTTGAGTGGTGCAGACAACGGTCACTCTGGGATCAGGAATGGAACAGTATTGTCTTTAGTGACGAGTCTCGATTTTGTTTAGGCATGCACGATGGTCGTGCCAGGGTTAGAAGGCGACGTGGTGAAAGGAGGAATCCACAGTTTTTTGTTGAAACACATGTTCATCACACTGTTGGAGTTATGGTTTGGGGTGCTATAGCTTATGGTTCCAGGTCACCTTTAATCTTCATCAGAGGTAACATGAACGCGCAGCGTTATATCCACGAAGTTCTAGAACCCCATCTTTTACCCTATCTTGACACCCTGGCAGATCCAACTTTCCAACAAGATAATGCCCGACCACATGTTGCAAGAGTCACAATAGGCTTCTTTCAACATAATGATGTCACATTGTTACCATGGCCACCAAGATCTCCCGACTTATCCCCAATTGAGCACGAGTGGGATATGATGGGTAGGAGATTGCTCAATTTTCAACGTCCTCCTCAGACTCTAGAAGCACTTCGAGAGGAGTTGGTGGTTGCCAGGAATGAGATACCAGAGGAGGACATTGACCACCTGATCAGAAACATCCCTAGGGGCGTTGGATAATGCGTAGCACATCAGGGTTCATCCACACATTATTAAAGGTCAAAGGGCTTTAAAGCAGTGCAATCATTTTGAAATTTTTATCATTTACTTATTATGCTTCATTAAGTACTTATTCAAAATTTTATTAAAATAAAACCATTTAAACTGGGTGTTCGGATTTATATGTTACTTAGTATATACCACAGATGCAAGATACACAATGTACATGTAAAATTCATATCGATATACAAATGCCTGTATTTTTTTTAACTCCACCACATCCGCCGGTGTCCACGGACATATTCTTCACTGTCCAGTGATTCTTCCCCTTCGTTTGTTCATCGTTGCGTCAACAATGTTTGACTGTACGCTTTTCGTGTCTCGGTCTGTTTGCATCGAGATACTTACCGGTACGCAATTCAGGATGATTTTCAAAACACTGCAAACACGGTCCGATTGAAGAGTGACCCTATGTTACAGATAGAATACTGACCATAAGAGCACTTTTCACGCTAGCAATATTAAAGTCGTAAAATTAACGAATATCCAATAATTTTTGAATGCTTCATGTCCTTCTGTCGCTCGGTATACTTGTTTGTTGCAGTTTTTATAACCACATAATATCGGAAAAGTTTGCACGAATTCTGGTCGAAGGGGTTCGATATGTATAGATAATAACCATATTTTTGAAAATTAGTGGTTGATCAAGTTGACAGAGGTGCTATCATTTGTAAGTTTTTCCTAGAAAGTTTTGTAAAGCTATGGATTTTGGCATACACTTTTGGATCTTCACTTACCTACCCTGAATCTTTTTTGCTCGCATCGCCATATTGGGAAAATAACGCCGAAAAGTTACGGAAATGAAATATCATATTTTTGGATATCATATGACATTTTCGTCGGTCTATCTTTCTGTATGTTGGCCATCTATAATTTGGAAAAATCACACGACTTTAGATGAATTTTTCCTACAAGGTCACAACTATGCCAAGAACGAAAAAGCCTTATAGTTTTTGAAAATCGGTCTAGCGACGGAGTTGATGACGAAAAACTGGAAATATAAAAGAAAACTCATGACGGTTCCTGATCATTTTCAGAAAAACTTTTGTTGTTAAATTTTTTGTTACTGGAGGTTGCAGGGTGTGGGGGAGGGTATATCTCAATTTTTTGACGTTAGTATACAGGACTTTGAAGTTGAGTCATTAATTTTCAGATAATAATTGTAGAAGGAAGATAAACCAAAATATGTGTGTAAAAATAAAAAAAATGTTACCTTGTTTTATAAAGTATCCTCCCGACAAGTAGTTCAGTGCGGACCTGTGCGCCCAAAAGCATGTCACAAAAACTGTTCGAAATGATTTCCGTTTTGTCTACAGTCTACAGGATTTAAGTCCGGAGACCTTGGCCAAGGTACAAAACCGCCACGGCCGATCCAACGATTACTAAATTGTCTATTTAAAAATTCACGCATTTGCATAATGGAGGGGTGCCCCATCTTGTAAAAACCACATGTTTTGTCTAATATTTAAAGGCACATCTTCCAGTAAACCAGACAAATTGTGTTGCAAGAAATCAAGATAATTTTCACCAGTTAAGCGATTTGGTAATTCAAAAGGCCCCACTAAAATTCCATTAACAATTCCAGCCCACAGGTTGATTGGTTCAAATCACTGTTGAAAATTTGTTTCCCTCATTTCATGGGGATTTTCAATAGCCCAAACGTGAGAATTACGTGAATAATAATAAATCATTTACTAATTCTAAAATTTGTTCCTCTAGTTCTATTTGATCGTGCGGCCTTGGAGCACCGGCATGCTCTCCCCTGTGAGGTCTTAAGTCACCTGATTCACGAGCCCTTTGTACTACATTAACAAAAGCACGAGGGGTTGGTTGCACTCGATTGGGAAACCAATCCGCATAAATCCGTGATGCCGCGGCAGCATCTTGTAAATAAGAATCATGTCCACAAGTTCAGCATTTTCGTAAACATGTGCCATTTTTTATTTCGTTTGAGCCACGCAACAAACACCACTATTCACTCACGCGTTACCGACTGACACATTGACTGAATACAACTGAATAAAATTAGTAAAAACATCGTGATAAGCGTTTCAAATTCTTTCGCTTTTTTGTTTCCGATGCGATGAACCGATAAGGAGGATTATATCCGTTGTCGCCAAACACGAGCACATATTATTATTGAGACAGGGCGGTACTCAAACCTCTAAAGGGCTATAACTTTGTTACTTTAATTTTACCAGAAAAATGTTATAGGAAAAAAACATTTCTTTTGATCAGATCTACTCACTGCTAAAATAAATGACTCAACTTCGAAGTCACCCTGTACTTACTGTACTTATAAGCTTCCTACCCCGATAAAATTTACCTATTAGACGCATTTGACATATCGTACATTTTGACACGCATCTCTGCTCCTTTAATCGGAGTCACAGTCTCACGGATGAGTATCGGACCGTGCCGTAGAGCGGTGCTGTCGAGTCTGACGAGTTGATGCGACGAGGCGGAGAGGAGCAGCGTTGCCAGATGAACGGTACTATCGGTAGGGCAGGGAATAATTTATGTTTTTGATGGACATGCTCGTAGCTAACTTATCAACGTGGGAAGTAAGTCAAGCTACTTGACGCTATTTCTTCAATATCTCCATTGTGGCTAATTTGCGCCATTTTTTCCAATGCGTTGGTAGAAAAGATACCAGGTAGCACAGTAAAAAATGCGCACATCAAATTACATATGGGCATGTAGATTTTCAAACTTCCCCAAAACTATGTAGACTCATTTTTTAGAACCAAATG